TCTTGCAATACTCACTTGGCCATAGCAAACTAGCAGCTTTGCTGTGCTGGGGGAACTCTTGAACACGTTTACCCGGATACATACACCAGAATATTCTTCCTACGTGAACGTTCTTACAGTATTGCTTAACAACAAGAGGAGAGATAATATGTTGTGGTACAGGAAAATGTTTACAGCTGTCAAAATGAATGGACTAGAGGTTGATTCGTGCATTGTAGTGTTAGGAAAGTTTTCAAGAAGGTCTAGTAGCCCAACCCCTAGCAGAGTCAGCTAACCATGACAGGCCAGAAGGTCACGTTAAACATTTCTGAGACACAGGAACCAAGATTACCTAGCCCTAAACGTTCCCGTAAATGATCCCCCACCGAAGCCCCTCCTCCCCTTTCTCGGAATTCCCCCTCCCCTATAGCTTGTGGTTTTTTTTTCTTTAAAAACTGTGCATCTACCCTGCCTCAGGGCTCAACTCCTCTGCCCCTGCGAGGGTTATGAGCTGAGCCCCAGCGCGCTGGAATAAAGACCTCTTGTGTTTTACATCAAGAATCGTCTCTCCGGGGTGTTTATGGTGCATCGCGGTCCCGGACTCAGAGTGGTGGGATTCCTCCCTGGGAGGATCTTACAGTAGATGAGTCTCTCAAAAACATAAATTGAAGAAAAGAAGCAAGAATAGAAGAATACATATGTTTTCCTTTAACTGATGTCTACCAAGTGTAAGTCAACTTGGGTAGTGTTAGAACTATAAAGGGAGCAATGGATAATTGATATAAAATTCAGAATTCTCATCAGAGGGTAGCGAGAAAGGGGAGGGACACGGGTGGGTTATCTAAGACTCAGATAGTCAGTTTGTGGATACTCATTCCTATTTCTACCCCTTCAGCTGTTTTAGCTACTTGTTCTCATGTCTGTTATACTTCATAATAAAACCTAAAACAAGGCAGGGCATTAGTGGTGCATACTTGTAAACCCAGCACTCTGAGAGGCTGCAGCAGGAGGATTGGAAATGTGAGCTCAGCCTGGGCAACTTAGCAAGACCCTGTCTCAAAATGAAAAATAAAGGATTAGGGCCTTTAACACTTAAGGCCCTTGAGTTCAATCCATACTACTGCAAAACAAAACAAAACCAAAAAAAAAGAAAAAATCCTAATGTATAAAGGGCTCTTACGAATTTAAAGGGATTGATGTATACTGTGATTTGATTATTGCAAAGCACAGCTGGAGGTGAGTAATTAAAAATGTATGTTTCCTTTTTAGCTTCATCTCCTACTAATTGCTTCCTGAAGTTTGGATGCTGAATATCCCTCCAAATACAGGCTCAATCCCTATAGTACTGCTCTTGGGAGGTAGTAGACTAAGGGGTGGGGCTTACCAGGAGGTCTTTAGGCCATTGGAGGTTGTACTCCAAGGCTAATACTGGTGCTGTGTCCTTAGTTTGGGCACAGTCCTTGCCTTTTTCTGTATGGCAAGGTTCTTTTTCTTTTTTTCTTTTTTTAATTAGTACATGTTTTCAGGACATAATTACATTCATTGTGGGGAGTTGGTATGTGTACATAACACATCTTAATTCTTTTTTATGTTGCCTTCCCCTCCACCTCTCTCCTTTTCCCTCTCCCCTTCTCATTTGCAACAGATCTAGCTCCCTGTTTCTTATTATCTATCTTTTATTTTGCTCTTTAACTTATTTATACTTTGGTGAATTTCTATACCTTTTTCAACTTATTAAATATTCCCTCTTCTCTGAAACCTTCCTACCTCCCTCACCTACTCCTTCCTCCTTAATCATTCCTGCCTCCCTGGGCCTGTGGCTCTTGGAGGGTAACTGTTCTTTAAGAGTTACAATTAGGTGTCTAAATATATCCTCCTTGGCCCATCCCTTGCAGCCTGACGACCCGTTGACTTAGAGTAGAAACCTAATTACCCCATTTGTTTTCCTGTAACCTGGTGCAGTTAGGGAAACACAGTAAGTAGTCCAGGGAAGGAAGAATAACAGTTTATTGAATGAAGAAAACCAGTGGAGAAGGTCAGGGTCACCTTGTTTTTGGCCTTGTGTACCAGGGCAAGGCATTTGGGCTTTGCTCAGTATTCATTCTAGGGACCTCATATCCCCCAAAGCAATGTTTCCAGACAATTAATCATGAATTGGAGGTAAGAGACAAATTAAGAGGTAATTGTGATGGTACCTCTAAAGACGGAAAGACTGAACTATGTTAATGTCCATGATAATAAAGATAAAACAAAGAGGTCTGCAGCAGTGCTTCTCAAATGTAAAAGTGCACACCCTGTCAAGGTCAATTGGGAACCTTATTGAAATGTACATTCTGATTCAGTAGGTTTGGGGTGAGGAGCCCATGATGAGGCATTTCTGGAAAGCTCAGAGCTGATAATGCCAGCGATTTGTGTGGTCCGGTATGTCAGCCACTTGGCTGACAAAAACTCAAAGCCTTTACTGCAACTAGGGCACTAAATGCTTACTTTGTTGTAAATTTTAAGTAGCTCAAATTTCCCTTAATAACTGAGGCAAGGTGAACTTTTTCTCCAGCATGTGAAATTTCTGGTCTGGTGGGACTTCTTTAACTGTAAATATTACAGCGCCTGAAATGAGATGTGCTGTTAAGCACTCAGGATTTAGATTATTTAGTACCAAAAAAGGAATGTAAAATGTCCCATTAATTATTTGGTGTTTAAGTAACATTTGGAGCTTATTGGGTTAAAAAATCATTTAATATTACCTTCACTGATTCCTTTTTACCTTTTAAAAATGTGCCTACATGCAAATTTAAAATTACAAATGGGGCTTATGTGTACAGGAGAGTAGTGTTTGGATCCTTCCATGAGAAGCCAGGCTCTATAGAGCTTAGGATCTCACCTGGATCTTTTTTATGTGTGCAGACATCATGCTGGCTCCCATCACGCTGGTATTCATTTTCACAATTTTATTACAAAGATGCTCAGTTGACTCAAAGCATCTAATCATTGCCTATTTCAAACCTCTGAAAAGTGGTTTTCTACCATGATGCCCTCTCTAAATACCTGACCAGATGCATGCACAACTACTACAATATGAAAATTCTAAATAAAATACCGATCCCTTGATTTATCACAGAAGAATGTACAAGAAGCAGATCCCAGATTAGAGATCATGTCTTTTAACATTGCTGCGTGATTGTTTCCATAAATGCTGCTTTCTCCAGGGAAAACTCTTTCTTTTTGTGTTCACCAAATTGGTCCTTTGGGAACTCTCCTACATTGTGGAGAGCCAGATGTGTTGCATCATCCATGATAAATGGACTCCAAACACACGATCCCATGATCCAATTTGCAAAGATCCCAACTCACATAGTGCTTACTGGCTATGCCACATCCTCCTCTAAAGTTTGTAAGCATCCTCAAGTGTATCACTGTATGCATATTTAAAATTTATCAGCTTGCAGTTCTTTTGATTAAAGCATGATTCAGTTTTAAGAAATCACTATAAGTAGCTCCTACAATAAGCCCATTCATTTCATTCATTCAGCACATATTTATGTAAAAGCTGTAGGTCAGTCACTATTGCAGGGTCTTTGAGAACTTAACAGAAAAAAACAGAACAAATAGGCTTAGTGATGCACATTGTAATCTCAGCTACTCCAGAGGCTGAGGCTGGAGGATTGCAAGTTCCAAATTCAGCCAAGATAACTTAGTGAGATCTTTCCCTAAAACAAAAATATTTTTTAAAAGAGGGTTCGTGATGTAGCACACTGTAGATCATTTGCCTAGCATATTCCAGGGCCTGAGTTTAATCCCCAGCACTGCAAAAACAGAAACAAAACAATTTCAAGATTCCTACTGTTCTCAAGCTTGCATTCTAGAGAGGTCTGGAGATGAATGTAATTTAATAAGTCAGGAGTGATTAGTGACTAAAAAAAGATATTTTGTACAGCATGCAGGGTATGCTTATCTGAGGCAGTAATGTTGCAGCAGAAAAGTGAATGCAGCTAGGCACAGCAAACCTGGGAGTGAGCATTCTAACGCTGCACCGGCCAGCACCCCACAGTGGGAGAGGTTTGCTCAGCTAGGAGTGCAGGGTGTCTGGAGGTGGTCTCCCTCAGGGCGGCAGGGAGGGCAGGAATGAGGCCTGAGCAGAACCCAAAGCAGGCGGTATAGGGCAGGGTTTGCAAGAGCAAGGTCTTTGGCTATTTTTCAAAGTGTGCTGTGAGATTTCAGGGATCCCAGCAGAGGAATGGCTTCTACCAGTGTCTGCCCTCGGCTGTCCACATGAGTGCCCTTGCTGATGTAAGAAAGGTGAAAGAAAAAGTCATTGTGGAAACCAAACAGGCCACTGTTATTTGTGTAGTTTCATCTTGGACCTTAATTAAAAAAAAAAAAAGCCATCTAAATGTATTGCCATCCAAGCCATGTATTCATCTTCTATTCCACCCACGTCATTAGCCAATTTCTGTGCTTTCTCTGCTACCTGAAATACCATTTTCCCATGTTTTCGTGTCTCTACTAGGTTTTCTTGATATAAGGTGTGATAAAAAAAGATGGCGAATGTTTAAATTAAAATTATTGCAGTGGAAGATACATTGCCATCAATCTTCTGTAAGATACTACCTCTCTCTCTGAACACACGTATCCTATTGTTCTTGGCGCCTTCGGAAGCAGTTCTGGAAGTCCCCTTTCCTGTCTTTTGCCGCCCTATCCCAGCTGCCTCCATGTTCCCAGTCAGCTCAAAACATTCACCTTTTGTGGTCACTTTGACTTTGGGGAGGATCCAGAGGTCACCTGGTGTCAGATTCGGTGAATAAAGTGGACAAGGACACACTGTAATGTTTTTATGAGCCTGCCCTTCTGTTGGATGGCCCTTGGCAGCAGCATTCACTTCATTTTTGGTCACACCTCCTAACGATATTAACTATATATATAACTATATTGATGTGCGTATTTTACATTTTTCTCTCATCATGGAAGGTTGTGTCATACAAATGCAACATGGATAAACATGTACCCTTGTTTTTTCATTGCAGGCAATCAACTAATGAATTGTCAAAACCGTATTTTGGAGTTTAAGGAAAATATGATACATTTCAAAAATAGGAGTGAAAATAATCAGCAGAAGCTCCAGAAAGTCTTGAATGAGATGCAGCATGAAATTATGCAGAGAGAAAATCTGTCCAAAAGCTTAGGTCTGTGTTGCTTTTGCTTTTGCCTGTGGTAGCTTGTTTTGGGGATTTAAATTAAATGCCTTCGGATTTTTAGGCATTTTCCCTCCATAATCAGAACTACACAGGTACAGTCCTCTTACTGTGAGGCCCCAAAATCAGGTGAGAGGCATCATCAACACCCTGTTCTCACTTCTACTTGGGCAGTGGTCTCCTGTCTGTGAACAGCCCCACACCATCCAGCCCATACCTGCAGCCGCCACCTGGGCACCACCTCTGTCCCCTCTTCTCTCTTGCCTTCCACCAGGCAGTCAACAAGCAGGGCTGCCTGTTTTCCTTCCCACTTTCCATCATTACCTCCACGACACTGGTCAGGCCACCTTCACCCCTCATCTCAGTGACCTCTCTGATGCTGCTATTCTTCTTTCTTTTCCCCGATCTTTTACCTGCCTACTTATATCACTGTGATCAAAGGGAAGCCTTCAGCATCCTGAATGTCACCCTCTGGTGGCTTGCCATTCTCCAGGATAAAAATCCCAGCCTTGGAGGAAGAGGCTTAACTTTTGAACATTTGAGTGTGCAGTCCTTTAATCTGAGTATGCTATCCCCTTGCATATTGCATAAGTTGTCAACAAAAGAAAGAACAACAACAAAAAATCCCAGCCTCATTCTTTGCCTGTGTGGCCCAATCCTTTGTCCACGCTCAACCCCTGGCAAACACTGAGCAGTTCTCTGGCTGCCACACAAATGCAGTCACACAGCGTCCCACCCCGTGAGTGAGACTGGCTTCTCCCAGTTAGCACAGACACGAGCAAATCGTTGTGTGAACAACTGTTTGTTCCTCTTTTATTGCTGAGTAGCATTTCATTGTAAGGATGCACAATGGATACAGCTTGCTGATCTTTTTTACTAATTGAAGGGCATTTGAGTTGTTTTGGTTTGGGACAATTATGAATCAATATTGCTATACGCATTCATTACAGGGTTTTTTTGTATGAAGAAAAGTTTTAATTTTTTGAAGGATTACTACCAGAAGTACAATCGATGTGGCATATGCCAAGTCTGTGTTTAACTTGATCGAACCTGCCAGGCTGTTTGCCAGGGTGGACAAACCATTTCACATCCTCTGCAGCCCTCTGTGACATTTCCAGCCACTCCTGTTATTATGGCCATTCCATTGTCACGATGCCTCGGTTTCAAGTATTAGTCCTCCTGTGCCCAGTGATGTTGAACATTTTTATGTGCTTATTTGCCATCCAGATATCTCATTTGGAGAGCATCTGTTCAAATCTTTTTCCCATTTTTAAATTGAGTGGTTTGCTTTCTTGTAGAGTTTTGAGAGTTCTGTATATTATCCTGGATACATGCCAGATGGATACATGATTTGGAAATATTTTTTTCCAGTCTGTGGCTCTTCTCTTCTCTTCTCTTCTCTTCTCTTCTCTTCTCTTCTCTTCTCTTCTCTTCTCTTCTCTTCTCTTCTCTTCTCTTCTTCCCCTCCCCTCTCCTCTCCTCTCCTCTCCTCTCCTCCCCTTCCCTCTCCTCTCCTCCCCTCCCCT